TGTCTCTTAATTGTGCTAGGCAAACTTGACAAGTATGTTTTATATCCTAATATCAATATTTCATAACTCATTTTTACATCGCACTGAAAGAATTTGTATATAAAATTTTCAACACATTTCCAAAAGACGTTTAACCTACAACATGCAATAAACATATGATTATAATCATCGATACAGTTACATAAATTACAAACATTAGTAGTTTTATCTTCCAAACCTTAAGTAACTTGCCACATGGCAATATACGGTGTAAAAGCTTATAGTTCAATTGCATCAAATGTTTACCAATAGGATTACATGTTTGGTTTTTCCATATGTTTTTCCATATAGGCTTACATTTTAATTCAACCTCCCATTTATTTTGTACACAAGGCAATTCAAATTTCTGTTGCATAAGTAGTTGGTATAGTTTTGATGTTTTCAGAAAACATAAGTTTGGGACATCTGTGCATTTGGTTTCTATCAGTGTTATCAACTACATTCATATCTTTCAGGTGTTTACGTATGGCTTGTTTAACAGAAAGTAATTCACATAGCCCAGTTACGTTTAACATCAGGTTTACGGAAAACTTCTTCATCTTTTAAAAAAATACCATTCTGTAAAATATCCCTAACATACACAAATCCTGAGTTTATCCAGTGTGGGTACAATAATGATTTTCCCTTAAATAGAAAGTGATTATTGCCCCAAATAATCTGATTCTGTATGTCACTCTCTGTGTCTGTACAATGGCTACATAATTTGTACCATGCAGAAATGACTTGTTTATAAAAAATTGGTAACTTATCCAGGAGTTTTTCATCTATGCCATTCATTTTAAAAATCAGATTCACATTGTTTCCAAATGCAGATAGATACATTAAGGGAATATATCTCCAAGACCCTTCACCATAACAGATGCGCTTTACCCAAGAAGCGAGCAGAGAATCTTTAACACAGTAGATGTCTAACATTCTTAGACCTCCTTGATCAAGGTTTCCAATTACTGTTTTACGCTTAATCTTATCTTGTTTACCATTCCAAATAAATTTAAACAAAGCATTATTTACCTCATTCTGTACTGATATAGGCATATGCAGCATGTTCATATTATAAGTTAATTTTGTAGCAGCTAAGGATTTAACAATGGTTATTCTACCATATATGGTTAAATTTCTTTGCCTCCATGTGTTGAGAATAATTTTTAATTCCTTTACTTTGTCATCCCAATTTAATTTACCTAGGGTTTTCTTACAGTGTCCAAAATATACACCCAGAGATTTGATAGGCTGTAGTGGCCACTCAATCCCTTCCAGTTGTTTCTTTTTCTTTCCATAGGCCTACCCATAATCCTTTTGTTTTGGATCTATTGAGTTTCAGACCTGTGACTTGATGGAATTGATCAATACAGTACAAAGCTTCAGTTAATGATTCCTCAGTAGATAGAAACAATGTTGTATCGTCAGCTACTTGACATAACTTTATATTATGTTCATCAATCATAATTCCTTTTACATTTTCATTTGATTGTATAACATGGAATAAAATTTCAGCAACAAATAAAAAAAGGAGAGCGCTCAGTGGACAACTTTGCCTTATACCACGTTTGATCTGAATACAGGCTGTTCTCCATCCAATATTTAACACTGATGCGATACAGTCTGTGTATATGATTCTAACCCAGTTAACAAAAGTGGGACCAAAATTGAACTTATCCAGAACTTTGAACATGAAGTTGTGCTCAATGCTATCGAAAGCTTTCTCAAAATCCAGGAACAGGATCATTCCTGGTTTGTTTTTATCGTCACAATAGTCTATAATGTCATTTATCAATCTAACATTTTACCCGATGAAGCGTCCTTTTATGTATGCCGTTTGGTCCTTGTTTATCAACTTATCCAGACTGGGTTTAATTCTGTTGGCAAGTATGAAGGCAAGAATTTTGTAATCCGTATTTAACAGACTTAAAGACTGATTCTTTCCTTTATAACATCTTCTCTTTTTATATTTTGCGACACTGTCGTGACACTTTCAACACAGTAAGAATTTCTTGAACTTTTTTTTTTCCAGTAACAGTCCAAACTCAAATAACGTGGAGGGGGGGCTAACACGGGTTGCGACGCATCTGTATTATCTGCGGCAAACCGTTTCAGGGTGTTCTGTACCATAAAAATTGTACAGAGATTCTTTTGTTCTTTAGACCAAATTGATTATTAAAAAGAGTGAATAATACGCATGTTAATTTCTCTAGAACGATGTACCTCTGACGAAGACATGAGATCTCCGACCTCTAGTTCTTTTCTAATGTCAGTCGCTTAATAAGTTCCGATGCCTTTTACAGGAATTCATTCTTCCGGAAGACCTACAATTTATTATGCTTCTAGCTTTCTTTCTGTTTTATTTGTAAGTCTGTAGAGTTTTTGTATTATTTTAATGATGTACTCAGCTGTACATGTGTTATATCGGTTTGTTTACCTGAAATAAAGAATGAATGATTACCAATGATTATCTGCATCATTATCGGTGTTTCCGTTCTAATCTGTCAAAGATGATGGTCGCCCCTCCTTTTTTATGTTTCATGTTCAGCGCTTGCCTTTGTGTTCCCCAAGTAAACTCCAGATTGCCTGGGTCTGTCCTAAACTGTTTTCTCATGTTACGCAACAGGGAGGGTTCTTAACAGGTTTGCGGACGACTTGCTTAAGGTGGAAGAGCACATTCCCCAACAACTAATATCCAGCATCGAGGTTCGTATCACACATATGCCGTGTTTATGGTCCTAAAATGAAAGTATTTTAAAATTGTGTAGTTTAACCTATTTCAAGATCAGGTTCATTGAACATGCATCGCTTCCTCCGCAATGCATAAAAAGACAAAACGTTCAAAAACTAGTCATACTTCATTCCCAGTGAAACAGAGGTATTATATCTAGATTGTAATTTAAAAAGACAAAACAAGATATGAAGAAGAAATGTGGTTGGTTTATTGTATATCAGCTGCTATTATTGTGTATTTTTATACATAAAACTTGATATCCAAATCTATTATATCTCCGGAGTCTTTTTTCTCTTTTACGAGCAGGAAAGGAACGAAAAAAATAGATTCGTATAGCAGCTAGTCACCATACACGTACACAACAGAGCTTCTCTCCTAATTCAACGAGAACGACTTGCAGCTATTTTTAAAAAAGTGACGACTCCTTTAATATTATCCATAGGGTTTGCTCGCTGCCATTGGAGCTGTAGTGATGATTTGCATCGGCAATCCCTGGGCAATCCTGCCGACATGCCCGCTAGTTCTCGGCTTCGCTTTCATGTACAACTACTACATGCCGACTGTGCGACATCTGGCGAGACTGAAAGCAACAAGTAAGCCTGTCAACATGTCAATCCTCTAATACCTTACACTTTTGTTCCATTTTAAATTGTTTCTTTATTTATCATTTGTAAATTTATTAGGATGATAAATACTACTTAATATATTACTTCAGTTGCGTGAGGCTGAATTGTACTGTCTGTTTGTCAACAAAATAACTCAAGAACGGCTGGATGGATTGGTTTCATATTTAGTGTGTCGGTAGATTGTGGCAAAACCTGGGAATGATTAGGTTTTGGGCCCCCTAGTGGCTTCCCCTGGTACTGCAGCCCCATAGTGGCTTCCCCTGGTACTGCAACTTCCGGTTTTGATATCTCGCGATCTGGACAAGGTAGGGTCATGAATTCTGGATGGTAGGTAGCTCTTGTTCTCGGGGAGAAATCCGTTTCACGGATCGTCGTGAGTCGTACGAAGTCAAACATCGCACACTTACGCCGCCCCTAACCAGCTATTCCCAACTTAGCAACCGGCCAGCTTTTTAAAAAGCATTTGTTGTTACGTTGACCGCCTCTACAGACGCCAGCCCCATCTATACGCACGTGTCGGCAGTCATGGAGGGACTGTGGACGATCAGAGCTCTGTCAGCTCAAGAGAACTTCAAGAGGCGGTTCAGAGATATTGTCGATCAGCACAGTGAGGCTGAATTCCTCGACATCGCGACCAAGGCCTGGTATAAGGTCAGAGTCAAGGTCCTGGACGCCACCTTCAACACCTTCCTCACATTCATGTGTATATTGTCGTCAGAAAGTAAGTATTTCATAGCTTGGTTACGAAAACCCATTTTGTACTGCCGAGTCTCTTTTGTTCTCTTTGCAAAGAGGACAAAACGAACCCCGCAGCTAGAATACGTTTGGTAACCAGATTAGGTTTATCATAATCATTTTTAACAATAAGCAATATAATGTCTAAACCTCCAACACTTCACTTACAATTTACTATTTTTCTTCATGGTGCTTATTACATCCTATGTGCATTCGTGATAGTTTTATTAATGCTGTTTTTATTGTTTCCAACCGAACAGGTCTTGGTGCTGGACGCGTGGGTCTCACTCTTTCGTATGCGCTTCTAATGTCCGAGCACGCTGAATTTATTGTGGAGGCCATTAAAGAATTGGAAAGCGTCGTAAGTATACTACGTTAATACGTTACGTTACGTTACGTTAATATCTATTGGTTCACTGCGTTTTATCATTTTCCCGGCACTATTTATTGGCTGTAGACTTTGCCCAAATTGCTGTAATCGGAAGACTCAATGACCGCATTTTGGGATATTAGAGAAGCCTGTAAATAGATACAAAAATGGATCAAAACTTTAAGTATCATTTTTGAATTATTAAAGCAGACTAGTGGAGTGTTTATACCACGAGCTATCATAAGTAAATACTTGTTGGTCTCAAATATTACAGAAACCACTTTGGATGCAAAGGCTTGTCCATTTACAACCATTTGTCTAACACGGGCCGACGTTTCGATGACCGCCTGCCGTCTTCATTCGGTGGTTCACTGTGCACTGGAGTTAGGTGTTACTGGTTCACTGTGCGCTGGAGTTAGGTGTTACTGGTTCAATGCGCACGGGAGTTAGGGGTTACTGGTTCACTGTGCACTGGAGCTAGGGGTTACTGGTTCACTGTGCGCTGGAGTTAGGTGTTACTGGTTCACTGTGCACTGGAGTTAGGTGTTACTGGTTCACTGTGCGCTGGAGTTAGGTGTTACTGGTTCACTGTGCACTGGAGTTAGGTGTTACTGGTTCACTGCGCACTGGAGTTAGGGGTTACTGGTTCACTGTGCGCTGGAGTTAGGTGTTACTGGTTCACTGTGCACTGGAGTTAGGTGTTACTGGTTCACTGTGCGCTGGAGTTAGGTGTCACTGGTTCACTGTGCACTGGAGTTAGGTGTTACTGGTTCACTGTGCACTGGAGTTAGGTGTTACTGGTTCACTGTGCGCTGGAATTAGGTGTTACTGGTTCACTGTAGGTGTTACTGGTTCACTGCGCACTGGAGTTAGGTGTTACTGGTTCACTGTGCGCTGGAGATAGGCGTTACTGGTTCACTGTGCGCTGGAGTTAGGTGTTACTGGGTCGCTGTGCACTGGAGTTTCATGTAGGTGTTACTGGGTTAATGTAGTATTGACACTAAACGAACATTCCATGTCTCTGCTTAGGCTTCATGTCTTTGCTTACAAATTGTCTTTACTGTAGTGCTGAATATTCATTAAGATTATGCATTGATATTATTGTACTTTCAGATGATCAATACCGAAAGGGTGATAGAATACGCCGAGCTGACGCCTGAAGCACCGTATGAGACCGACCACAAACCCCCGCCGGACTGGCCGGCATACGGCGCCATAGATCTGAAAGGAGTCTACCTTTCCTACGGCGAGCAGGAGTCTTTCGTTCTAAAGAACGTCAACTTGAACATAGTCGGGGGAGAGAAGGTACGCTACAGCTTTAGCACTTTTTGAAGCTATATAGATGCATTTAGAACTGCGCTACATCGATACCTGGCTAGAACAATGGTCAGACATGTATTCAGTCAATACGTAACCGGAACCGTGCTTAATGTGCAATCTAAAGTTCTTGAATACACGGTTCGGACATATCTGCGTTGACGGCCACTTCGTCGGAGTAAAGCAAGTGCACATACTGTATCTACATTTTTGAAGAATACTATTATTTTAGAACCGCGCCTAATTCTAACTAGTACAGTGGCATAGCTGACAAAATCTGCCGAATTGTGCACGTTTGTCTAAAAGCAAAATTTGGCACACATGTAGTTGGACATATATTACACAAATCCTGATATGGAAGCATCTCAATTTCTACCAAGGAGCACAGGACGTCACCCAAAAATTTAGAATCCCCAAAATAGACGAAGCGCTCTACAAATGTAGTGCTCTGATTAAGGGGGAGGGAAAAAGATCAAAATCAATATTTCTCCCTGAAAATGTATATGACATCATGAGGTGCAAGGTACACACATCTGTTAATGTTGTTTCCATATTGCTCTTCTAGGAAAAATTCTTTAAACCTTTTGTAATTCTTTTGTAATTTTTATTGAGCGAGGATTGCTCCGTGCGCCTGCATGCGCACACCGGCGACGATTTCGTAATGTATTACATGTAACATTAGCCTAATATAGACCAATATAACACTACCCCAGACAAAGAGATATTCTATATGTTACTATCATGCCCTGTCAACATTTCCACTTATGTAGGCCAATTTGTACACAATTCCATGACAAAACGAGAAAACGTAATTAATTCCTGGCACAATTTATTACTACATTGTATAATAGAGTTAGATTAGTATAATTAGTGTCTCTCTTTTGTTATACATTGTTTATGAAGCAGGCCAGATTCCTATTACAGTTAGTAGAACTGTTAGATATTCTCAACACCACTATATCTGTATGTTAACACCACAAACTATGTATGTATCATTTTGCCATACGTTGTACCTGCTACATCTGTTGCGCAATAAAGTTCTTCTTCTAATAGATGGCCTATCCTGAAAAACTTGATTATAAGGTCTTAAAAGTTATAAAACTTGATTGAGGTATATTTCCATTTCTAGGTTGGCATCGTTGGTCGTACCGGCGCGGGGAAAAGTTCCCTGCTGATGATGCTGATGAGGCTGGTAGAACCGACAGGCAGTATCCGAATAGACGGGGTGGACATCCGTAAACTGGGACTGCACGATCTCAGGAAGAAGATCTCCGTCATTCAACAAGATCCCATCATGATCCAGGGGACCGTTAGGAAAAATCTGGATCCCTTGGACATGCACTCAGACCATGCATTGTGGACATCGCTGAATGAGGTAAGACTAGGGTATTAAATGTAACTAAAACTAATGCTTTTAACACCTTCGCTGTTACTATATCTTCCTGTTATCCCTTTGCAAGTAATTTCAATGAATTCATTTAATTATTTATTTCTCTCAAAAATGGCAAAAATTGGCAGTAAATAGATTAAACGTAATTTCTGTTTTTTCGCGTAAAACATTATTACCGTTAAGAAATAATTCGACAACTTTCTTACTCTTGCACCTAACAATGAACAAACAATTCCGTGAACACCTCCATTTCAATTGGATGGATAGAAAATTTCTAAAATACGCGTATTCAATTTTTGTTCCAAATCAAGTATAGAACACACCATTATATGTTGCTTTGTTTGCAATGAACCCTCATGCAGGAATTTGCTATAACGAACTTTTCGGTTAAGCCTGAACATCCTAATAGAGAGGAGTTGCGGAAATCTATTCGGGCATGGGTTTGCAATACATTTTTTTTCTGCTCTTTGTGTACGAAGGTTTACATGACTGAAGACATACAGAAGCTTCCGCAAGGCCTGGACACGCCGATAGGGGAGAGAGGTGGAAGTCTGAGCGTGGGGCAGAAGCAGCTCCTGTGTCTGGCGCGGACCATTCTGTACTACAACCGCATCCTGTTGTTTGACGAGGCGACAGCCAACATCGATCTCAAGTACGGTGCAGTTTTCGTTGCTATTTTATTGAGTTTAGTCACATGTATAATTTATGATTTTATAAGAATTAGCAAGAAATGAGTAATAATTTTATATAATTATCTTTCAGTATATCATACTTATATATTTATATGCCAGGGAAATGCGGTTTTTAAAACGTCCCTCTGATGAAACAGTGAATGAATTGCCTGGAAAAATGGTCTAAATATGGAAAAACAGTATGTTTTTATATTTTTTAAAGTGCTAACTGGTCTATTTCCTGATAATATTGCGCAAAAAAAGGGTTATCAACAAACATATAAACCAATAAAAAAACTTCTTGCGACTGGGTATTTCTTTAATTTTTAAACTTAGTCTCCACCAGGATCCTCAAGGCTTAATGAATAGTAGAAACCAGCCTAAAAAGGAATGTAACAGGCCAGAGTGCCACGGAGTCTGGTGGTGACTATTTCGAACTTCGCATGGCCATGGACGGCCTTTTTCAGTGTGAAAATCATTTTTGCTTGGATATGTGTTTTGCAGAACGGACCGGCTGATCCAGTCGACCATCAGGGAACGCTTCAAACACTGCACCGTGTTGACCATCGCGCACAGACTCAACACCGTCATGGACTCCGACAGAATCGTGGTATGTTTTTAAACCCATGTCAAACAAGCCATTTTGGACTCCGACATGATTCTTGGTACGAGTAGTATGTTTCACCCATAAACAAGCAAACTATGTGTATATACAACAAATTTCTGATGAAATTTCGATAAGATTTGGGCTACGCTAACTTATGACTCGTTGTCATTTAAAACGGCCGATACCATATCGTTCATGAATGGTCGATGCCATGTCCAAACGTATAGTAACTTCTGTTAGGGACAGAACATTTAATATTAAAAATCAACATTTCAAGTACAACATCATCGTGAATATAGTTACGAACATGTACTCGGATTCAAACAAATTTAAAAACTCTAATATTTTACGCCGCGAAACATCACGGTGTTTTTGCTGGTGTCACATATCCAACGGGGCCCGTGCGGCATGTTCCCGATCTAGACGCCGGCCGACGCCATGACGCCGGCGCGGGTGGACGGCGGCTATCATAGCCACAATTAGGTTACGGCTTCGTCCCAGCGTATATTTCTTGCCGGGGCCATTTGATCCTAAAGGTCACATTTCCAAGCCGGCGCCCGGCCGGGCAGTCGTATGGAACGAAAAGTATAAAATGAAAGACAACGAAAGCACAAAAAAGAAAATTGACAAAATTATTGATGGGAACTATTTCCGTATATTATTGATATAAATTGTCAATTTTTCGTTAATCAAAACAGCCCGGGCGTCCCGGTTTGAAAATGTGACCTCAGCATAGAGTTCTTGTTAAAGTCAAGTCGGCGCCTGCATGGGCCACAAAAAAAGGCCGGTAGCTGTCAGGACTCCCGCTAGGCCCTGTTCTGGTTTCGTCCGATAGGGCCAAAAACAGCACGTCGAGGCGCTGCGCAGGCCCCTGCCATGGAGGAGAGTTTGCCTTCATCGACCATCTTAAATGGAGCGTTATTGACACAACAAAAGTACAGCGACTTTTGTAAGGTCTAAATCTGCATGTAGATATACAGACAAATGCATAGGTACAACGAAATTACCTATACCTACGTACAAAACAATAGATGAGTCAACTAATACAGCTTGTTCTAAGGTCTAAACATCCTTTGATGCATTTACCTATTTGTAAGGGTTATTACCTTCTAGGATGAAATTAAATTTATTTATAGCATGAAATGTAACAAATTCTGTTGAGCAAGCGGAGAGAAAGTTGAACATCTTTGTGCGTTTATCATTATATAGTGTACAATTTAAAATGAAATGTTGTTCGTCTTCAATATCATTAGGACAGAATGGACAAAACCTCTGGTCGCGGGGGATTTTAATTGGCAACGACCATTAACGAGACGGAAACTAGTAATGGCTACCTTATTTAACTCTTTTCTTTCAATCTATTAGGTGATGGATGAAGGTCGTGTAGCAGAATTTGACGAGCCACACCTTCTGTTGACGGAGTACCCGGATAGCATCTTCAGCAAGCTGGTGTCTGAAACCGGGGAGTCCATGGAACGTGAACTGAGGAAAGCTGCACACCAGAGTTATCTACAAAAGCACGAACAGAAGAAATCACAGTAACAGTCTAACAATCTATGCATCCAAATCAACGCATCGCATGATAGACATAGTGCAATTAGTGTTGCTTTTGCTAATCGCCCAAAATGCCAAAAATTTCAGGATCTAAATAACAATAAGAAATGGCATTCATTGTGATTTCAGTGGGGCAAAAATACATATTCCGGGTGAGAAAACCCGTCTAATATTAACTGGCATTCTTTTAGTCCTCTTTTTTCATTATTTCATACTTGAAACATTTCCTGTCTGAAACAGCCCCAAAACAAGCTGCTTTAGGCCTCTTATGTGGCAACCGCCAATTAAAAGCTAGAACCAGCCTATAGTACGAAACAAGGCCTAGGAACCGTTTTCCGTCAGCTACATTGCATTTTAATTTTGTTCATAGGTATCAGTATGCTATGGGAGAGGATTGATTAAATTTACAGACTAACGAAAAATGAGTTTTAACATCCAGGTTTGCCACCCTGAAATTGTTTTAACCCGCAAACACGTATATTTTTATGTACTATTTGAATTTTTTTCATTCTAAAAAAATTCCTCCCGTGACTTTGTCAGAAAACCTCTTCTACAAGTTCTCCTAATTTTTTTTTGGAGATCGGCACAAATTTGTAAAAATAACAACGGAAGTCTTATTTTAGACCGTCTGGGGTCCAAACGGACCCCAGCCATGTATTTGCACTTTCCTACACACGAAATTGTTCGAATGTCCTCAATATGTCTTCAAGGAAGCATTATTGCTTTAATATTACGCAGTTTGCCAAGTAACCTTAACCTCAGGAATTATTTCATCAGGTTTTCAGAGGTTTGACAATTTGACAATCATATGAGGTCAAAGGTCAACCCCATGTTCATGCCTGCAGGCCTCATCCTATTTTTGCATAAATTACGATAATGAGCTGGAATTTTTTAAACACTTAATCATGCCAAAATAAACGTCTTAATATGTTTAACCAATATATGTGCAAAGGTTATTTCTGAAAGGATGCAAAAAGGAATACAAATTTGAAAGAAACCAAATGGGGTCAATTTGGACCCCGTTCGGGCATTAACGTCACAAAAAAAGTTCGGGTGTTTGAGGGTTAATTTGGTTTAAGCTGCTTTTCTAAAATGTTATCAATATACCTTCACAGGAAGAGCTCATTACGTTTGCGCAACTACGCGTGCAAAGATGTATTTTTTACACTTTTATGGCGATGTAAAAAAACGTCTAGGCGACGCATAGTAAGGTTTTTCAAATTAGGATACCATTTTACACTTGCAATACTTAATCAACTTAGTCAATGGCTTTATTCAAATATACATGATAAGGATATTCAACATTATTATATAACAATATAAGGTGTTTATGTATATGTTAATGTTTATGAGGAACTCGATTAGAAACTAGAAGCGTAACATTTGCAAAGCAAATGCATAATGTTCACCTTCGCATATGGTCTGCTAGTATGTTAATTCTTATACTCATGTATATGGTGACAGATGTCTAAATTCCTTCTGCTATAAAACTGCAATATGATGTAACCCCAATACTAGGTTACCATGGTAACAGATAGACTGGTTCAGGTCATTGACCTTTTGTTTCTGAAGAAGAGGAAACAATTCGTTTTCCTTCGATAAACTTAAAAACAACAGTTGCTTACTAATCTTCCTGGACTCATGGGCTGTTACAGTGTTTAGTTGCAGTTATAACATTTTAAGATTTGGGTCTTTGGGCGCATTTACAGGTATGAATAATGTGTTTCTTGAAAAGTATAGAAAAAGGAGATTTTTTCGTTGACAGCTCGAGTGTTCTTAAACAATTTAATTTGGAAGTTCGCTTTGGTGATTGATGACCTAATTATTTGGGATTAAATATAACTAAATGTCATGAAAGTCTGGTGTTTTTTTTAAATGTACATGTTTTCCTCTTTGTACATGTATCTTCTTAGATGACGCAAGGTTACCAGTTTATGGTCAAATTATGGAAAATGGCATTTTTTTTTTCAAACGCGAAGACAGAACCAAATATTTAAGCCAGGTAAAGAAACGGTAGTTCGTCAGATAAAAAAAGTGTGTGGGTTGTCATTTCTTCCCTGCATCTGTACATGTGGTGCACGTAGTGCCAAGTGCCCTTGTTTTTACAGCTATAAACCTGCCCGCACCGCCGTCCATATTAAACGGGTACGGTGGCAACCTACATTTGTACACAGGTTGTCGGATAGCTTCTATTTTTCCTGTCTAGTTGTACTTTTTTTTATTTACTTATACCTAATTAAAACGGGCTTTCAGGCACAGGCCAATACTGATACCTAACCTGTCAAAAACACCTACTTGAATTTTAAAAAATGGAAAAAAAACTCCTACATATATTTATATTTAAAAAATGGAAAAAAACTCCTACATATATTTTTTTTCCCAACTTCCTTAACAAAATGGTATATGTATGTGTATTTTCTACTTACCCAGCACTTGTTTTCGGTAGTTAGGCCACACCGACTTAATTTTATAGATGATCATGACATCCGCGCGCGCATTGATTTTTGCCTGTTCTAAAAGAACATAACGTCCTCTGAGGCTCTGACCAGTGCCGAATCATAAATTCCACAAAAGGCCAGCACGTGCCGGCTTGTCGTATACGTCGCTATGTACTGCCGCAAATTCACAATACCGGCTTTGTATTCCTGTGGTTTAGTAGCATTTTTTGGCATTTTTTTTTATTTGCCCGCGCCCACTCGTTTGGGGGTCTTCAGAGGATGTCATCCATAAAATTAAAATGGTGTGGCCTTGCTGAAACTTACTACACCGGAACTAGGTAAATTCGAGTTGTTTACAACTGTTGCTTTTTTTGCCCCCCACCCAATCGTTTCTTCCCTCACAGGCATGTAACTTAGCAAAACAAAATATGACCACGAAATTAGGTCTCGTCCTACATATATTACCGGGTCAACCACTAGCAACCGTCTTTCAATAAGGCCAGCTTAGGCCATGTTGATTTGATTATATAGATGACATCCTCTGGGAACCCCAAAACTGATGCGAGCGTGCGAATAAAAAAAAAAGTTTGGACAAAAAAAAAAGTTGCGTTCATTATGAAATCTACGTGGTCATGAAGGTTGAACAAATGACACGGGGTGTGGTATGGCGAATAATTTACTCTTCAAATTCATTTCTTTACATTTTCGTCTTTTTCGTTTGATTTTGGCATTTTACGACAGTGGTATCGGTTTTAGATATTTTTTTTTGCAACTTACAGTATATATTTGCTGTTTTGTACGATTTGCAGCATGGTTGAAAACTTTTTTTTTTGGAAACGGCCGAAAATTGATGCGCGCGCGGATGTCATCCATATAATCAAATCAACATGGCCTTACCACTCCATGTTGGGAGGACGACTTTTGCTAAGGTCATACTTGAGGATTGATGCATGACTTAAACAGGGCCCAAAAAGACAAAACAAATATTCATGTCAACTAGTTACAAAGGCCCCTGTACTTAAATACATGATTACGGGGGTTTAAAGAGAACCTGGTAATTTTACAGGACAGTGCATTCCCCTGAGGCAGGGGAAGGCTACTCAAACTGTTATTTAGGTCACGCAAGCTATTAACGTAATTACGGTTGACACCGATGTGTAAGTTTCGTTCACCTTTTAACCTCCCTGGTTTGATGTTCTTCAAAAAGAGGTGGTCAAAGATGGCTGGGACAAAAACAGTAGGCAAAGACGCGACAGAAACCGATCAAGATAATACTACAGATCTAGAGGCCGCTTGTTTCACTTAAGGAAGATGAACGTAAAGTTCCATCGGAAGTTCCATCCTCCGTGCGGATGAACGTAAAGTTCCATCGGAAGTTTCATCCTCCATGCGGATGAACGTAAAGTTCCATCGGAAGTTCCATCCTCCGTGCGGATGAACGTAAAGTTCCATCGGAAGTTCCATCCTCCATGCAAATAAACGTTAAGTTCCACCGGGAATTGCAACCGCCTTGCGAATGAACGTGAAGTTCCACCGGAAATTCCACCCTCCATACAGATGAACGTAAGGTTCAATTGGAAATTACTTCCCTTATCCGGATGAACGTTCAACCGGAAATTCCATCCCCATGCAGATGAACGTTAAGTTCCACCGGAAATTGCAACCCCCTTGCGAATGAAAGTATAAAGTTGCACGAAAAATTCCACCCTCCATGCAGATGAATGTAAGGTTCAATCGGAAATTGCTTCCCTTATCCTGATGAACGTAAAGTTCCACCGGAAATTCCACCCTGAATGCAGATGAACGTTACGTTCCACCGGAAATTCCATTTTATGTTGACTTGACCCTGTGAAGTGTACTGACCATGCAAACGTATAACTGGACTGCTTCGTATACAGTCCTTTTTGTGTTTAACCGTGTAACATTGAATCAAACTGACGTGTATATTCGACCATCATATTGTCGTAGTAGTAGTCTTTAGTATCTATACATCGCTTACATGCTCGTTTTAACTGAACCTTTTTCTTATCACCAAGTATCCTGCCGGCCATTTAAAAACCTTTATAGAGTGATCGGTTGTCTGGCACTACAGGTGAGCTCCCTGATGGTGAATGTTGGTCTTTGATAGAGTAACATAGTTCTCCTCGGTGAAAGAAAAAGAGAAATCCATTTCTAGCACGCATAATTATATAATCACCTCACGGGCAACGCAAAAAGCCTAACAACGGGAGCACACAAGGTGTTTAGGTTTTACACACACCAAACACAAACAGATACACAAAGTTTTGAATCCAAACTTTCGTTACATCTCCCTCATAACGTCCTCTTGTGGTTGGTTAATTTTCTTCAATTCGCGGTACAGATTCAAATATAATAGTATAACGCATTATAAGACACAAATAAACTTCGTGAAACAAATGTGTTTGACGTGTAAAGAAGTGTTTTTATGTATTTCTAGCCTTTTAAGTTATGATGTAATGGTGCTCTAGAATTTTCCAGTAACTCCTTAAAACTGTCTTTGGACTACCCTCCATTCAAGCCCTTATTTGGTCTTCAACTTCCCTTATGTGGCGTCGGGTGGTGTAGTGGTTAGAGCAATCGACTGTGAACCGGGAGACCCGGGTTCGATTCCGAGTCGTACCCGGGACACGTCTGAACATGCGCCCCGACGTTGTGCCCTTGGGAAAGGCACTTTACACGAATTTCCTCACTCCACCCAGGTGTGAATGGGTACCTAACTTCGGTTGGGGAAAGTCGTATTGAGGTCACCTTGTGGCGCCGAATGGCAGCCGCACAGACCCTTGCGACAGTTCCACAAAAATGATTGTGGAATAAATATGTGTATTATTTGTATTATTTGATTGTTGTAATTGTTGTGATTTGTATTGATTATTATGTGATACCCTGCACCAATTCAGCCGTATAAAGGCTGCGACTGCACGGGTACTGTTTGGACAATAAAAACCATTTATTATTATTATTTCCTCGTGCGATGGTGCACAGGTCTGTCACGTACTTACATTTGGGTCACAACACACATAAACCTGGTTCCATTAACAAACATCATCCTAACATCATCTAGATTAATGCAATTGCAAATAAATTTATTTATTTTTGTTAATTATTACAACTCCATACATTTTTGTATGTGAATTATTACCTAATTTACATACCTAGTTGAGTTATTAGCTTTAAACGTTATACACAAAAAAACCGCTACAGTTCCAAACATGACCCCGATTTACACTGTGTTCTCCAACAGCTTTCCAATTCTAAAATAAAACCATTAACCTGACATTAACATTGCACTTCCAGAAAATTTTAGTATACACTTTAAGTCACCACTGAAATTTGCCCTAATAGCCGATAGGAGAACCATTATAGAACTTAATCTTCATTTTTGCTGCTACTAACCATCCACTTAATATTATTAACAGCCTTTCAATATTTCTCGAGTTATGTTAACAACAACAAAAAACGTAGGAACATGACAGAATAACCATTTTTAAACTTAAACTTTGTTTCCATAATCGCTAATTACTTACTAAGTATCAATTCACGGCTTCTCGATTTACGCTAAACACACGCACATACAACCAAGAACGCAAAAAATCCCGCTGCAGTACCGTTGGAAAACGCAAAGTAGACAATTCTGAACTTTACCTACATTTACCATCATTCTAGAACATGACACTAGCGGTGACTACATCCGCCATCTTGGGGTCGATCTTCCGCAGTTCCCGGTACAGGTCCTGGTAGAACGGCTTGTTGATGGAATGGATGGTGTTCGGTGCCAGCGGGTTCAGGTTGGGCTGAATGAGCAGAATGCGGATCATACTGGCGTTGAAGGCCTGGTAGATGCTGCATTCCGTGTCCCACGGATGGAGGGAGCACCTATCAACAGAACGTAAGCCATGTTAACTATCGAATATAATTTTTATCTGAGTACATAAATATTGCTTTGGGTGGTTGGGTCGTGGTGTATCTTTTTAATAAAGGTTGTTGTATACAGTGGAACCTGTTTAGCCTGCTTAGGTTGACAACACTTGGCTGGACTGAATATCATGTCATAATGTCATAGGAAATGGAATAGTAAACGCCCTGGCCCCAGAATCAGCCCGGAAGGCAGGCATGGGGAAGCCAAGGATTTCATAGTTTTGGGAAGTCTCAAAGGCCAGCTAAAGCTTTTTGTCGTAGATTGTAATTCGATAATCGCATACGTTGCTTCTACTATTTCTACAACATAATAAAACACAATTTTCACGGCTTCTGTGTAGTCAGTTAAAACAAAAGGATTTCCAAATTTTCGTTGACGCATATTTAATAATACACCATAAGAATTTTTTATTAAACGGTGACATTTTTTAACTATTCACGAACTCTTTCATATTGAAATTCTCGCCCACAAAATCATTTTTAAGACTAGTAACGTCAACAGATTTTGAAAGCAAACGTTAATTTACCTGGCACAGTCGCCTGGTATATGAAGTATAAATATTAAGTAAACAAAGACCATTCCATGTTGGAATGACGTTTACCACTGACATTTTATTCCTTAAGTTGGGTTAAAGTCTATTCCATTATTAAAAGGGAGAGGATGATGCTAAGTATGCATCTTACCTCAGCAACGACCACCTACTGCTACCATCATGGTCCACACTGTGCACAATGGTGTGGTTAAAAAGTGCATCCAACAACTTTAAGTCCACACCGTGGCGCTCCATGACGCGCTGTAGAGCCAGTCGTGACCTGTAAGGTAGGGAAGGGAAACAATTTTTCATTTTTCAGCAATTTGAAACACATGTGACTGAATCAGATGTTCAGCTTATTGTAGCATATGGGTAACACGAAGAATGGTAAGAAAAGACCAAAGACCGGAATATTTCGACGTATCAATGTAAAACTGTGACAACGTGTATATGTAATCCTAATTACAACAAACCACTATATTTTTATTATTCGAAAATAGAAGAAAAATACATTTCATTGATATTAAATCAATGCATTTATTTAGAGGAAGAGATGAGTAAAGATATCTTTTAAAAATCTCTATTTGTCTGCTCCCTCAAAAGCAGTTACGTCAGTGCTACTTCTTAATTTGTTTGTTTATTTAACCAGAGGACTTCATGTCTCTCATTAATAAGTTAAAAAAACGAAAAGATTTCAGACTCCCATAAATTATGCAATCTTCAGCTTCCTACATTCCCCCAAGCCGTCAATCTGAATTCCTGTATACTTCCAACCAGATTCTGAGACAACTATAGCCCTCACCGTCTACATGCCAATCTATCCCTTACCCACGTGCAGTCAACTTACTCTCTCTGAACACATACCCAAAACCCACAGCTCCACGACCCAAAATGATACTTTCATATCTAGAAGTAACAAGGAATATTTCTTAACCTCAACGTGCTACAGCGATCATTTCACTAACCTGTAGAGTTTTCCAGCGAAGGACTCCTTCCCATGTGACTTCCAGTGATCCATGGCTTGATGTCTTGCCAGTGCGCTCATGTTCCTGCTCTCCTCCACTAGGCTCTCTCTGGTGCCGACATGGCCATAGCCCAGATATCTGGACACGTTACCGTCCCAAGCCAGCGCACTCACGGACGAATGGAGGAGCCCGTAATGTAGAGGAATGGAAGTGTAGCTTGACTCCTGGAGAGTCTTTACATCGTTATGCACGATGTGTCGGACCAAGCTGCTCTATGGCACCAGCAAATCAAATCTATGGCTAACTCAAGAACAGCGGAAGCCGTTATCCACGTGACTGATCTAGCCCCCAGTGACACTAAAGGCATAGCCAATGCAATAAACTGCTCCCTGTCTTCTGTTACAAACTCACTGCCGCCACTGGATCCGTCATGTCTTCCTACTTACCTGCCTTCCCTTCCGCCGCCGGCTGTACAGCCCTGGGAGATGTACCAGAAGTTGTTGAAAGTGAAAACCCGGAAAGCGGCCGGACCGGACTCGATCCCAGGCAAGATTATTAAAGAATTTGCATATGAACTGAGCGGTCCACTCGCGGACATTCTCAACACGTCACTCAAACAAAGCATCGTCCCCGAGGAGTGGAAGTCTGCTATCGTCGTCCCTATCCCCAAAACCAAGCCTCCTTCCATTAACGAGCTTCGACCTATCTCCTTAACATCGTTGTTGGGCAAAGTCGCGGAAAGTTTTATCGCACAGTGGGTCATCTCGGACATCTTACCCCAAATTGACTCTAAACAATTCGGATGTTTAAAGGGCAAATCTACTACACATTGCCTCCTCGACCTGACCAATGAAATCTTCAAGGCTACAGACAAACCAGGAGTGTTGTGCTCGCTGGTATCAACTGACTATAGTAAAGCGTTCGATCGCGTTAACCATAATGTAGCCATTCAACGCCTAATCGAGCTCGGTCTGAGGCCTTCCCTCACCAGCTGGGTTGTGGACTTCCTCAGGGACAGAAGTCAAGTAGTCCGTTACCACGGAACTCTCTCTGAGAGCATGACTGTAGCCTGTGGTCTACCGCAAGGAACTCTTCTTGGACCCCTACTATTCATTGCGTACATCAACAGTGCCGCAGCCCTAGCCGCTTCTAAGCGCTGGAAGTTTGTTGACGATTTAAACCTTCTTGAAGCTAGAAACCCAACCTCAAAGCCTTCCAGTTTACAACAAGACTTAACAGATCTGGATACGTGGTCACACAAAAGCGACATGGTGTTACACCCGCGTAAGTGCAAAGTCCTACACGTCCAGTTTTCCAAGACATTGTACATACCCCACCACTTAAGATAAACAACATTGAACTTGAACAGGTCAACGTAATGAAGATTTTGGGACTGTACCTCCAGTCTGACCTGAAATGGAATACCCACATTGATTCCATCTGTAACAAGGCGAACCAGCGTCTATACCTACTTCGTAACTTAAAGCACTTCCGCGTTCCAGCTGTTGACCTCGTTACAGTGTACACCTGTTACATCCGCCCGGTACTGGAGTACGCGGCCCCAGTGTGGCATCCTGGACTGACCACTAAACTCTGTAGGAGAATCGAGAACGTCCAGCGTAGAGCGTTGCGGGTCATCTTGGGTGCTGATTTCATCTCCTACTCCAAAGCTTGCGTGCAGCTCAACCTACCATCACTTAAGACCCGTCGTGAGAAACTGACTTTGAACTTTGCCAAGTCCCTTGAACACTCTAAGCTGCACCGACATCTACTGCCGCCTTCTAGAACCTCGATTAGCGGCAGGACGACTCGCTCATCCCACAAACTTGACTCTGTGTTCTGTAGAACTGAAAGATATAGATCTAGCGCGATTCCCTACATGATTCGGATGCTGAATTCCTAGCTTTTACTTCAGAGTACGCATTTTAAATATATATTTTACTATTCATAATCGTTTACCCTGTCTGTAATTTATGTGTACATCTGATATTTTAAATGACCGACCTTTTAACGTATCTTATATTAATAATTAATGACGTATAATGATTTTAATGTGAGCTAACTTTTTATTAATTAACCAATTGTAATTGGCAGAGCACTTCAGGTCCCAATTACATGGAACCTGCCTTTCTGTGCAAGTGATGAATGATGAATAAACCATTATTATTATTATTATTATAAGCTATTGGAGAACAGGTGCGACTTAGTGTGAAGGGAATGGGTATGGTAGAAGTAAATTGTAGAAAAGATTTGACACCTGTTACTAATTCTAACTCCGTTGCGAGTGAAGCACAGAACCTGGACGCCAATCTTGCCTTTCGTGTACCTCAGTGACATATTCTTCAGCTTGTATCCTCCGAGGGCACGCAGCTTGCAATCTCTAACAGTTACTTCATATTCACCCGACTTGCCGTCTGTTGCAGGGCGGATCAGCATACCCATGGTCGTGTTCTCTATGTAGCCGACAATGTCTTTGTCAGTGGGAACTCGCATGACGAACAGAAGGTAGAGAGAATAGAGGGCTGCGTATATCCACCGTATGAGGTACATGGGGCTCTGGAGGAGGTGGTGGCGCCGGAAGAGGTGCTGAACACTTGGGGTGCACTCACAGTCGTCAATACGGGGGAGGATGGGCGAGGGTGTCCTGGTCGGCTTCATCTTGTGTAACAGAATTGACAGTAACAGACAATCGTCAACATATCGTGCCTAACGAAAATGCAACACCGTGAAGTGCCAATAGCTGATGAATTGATCACCAGAATTTTTTTTTACAAATGACGCCATGTTTAGTCTATCGAGTAACCCTACTCATATCTTAATCGGATGAAGGAATGAAGGCTAGGCCTTGCCTCAAAATACGAAATGAGCCACAATGTACGCATTTGGCGTATTTGGCATAGCTCTGTTTTTGCCGAGGGCCAAACACGCCTAATTAAGTGTTATTTGAATGAGGGCTAGATAGGCAGATCAGGGGGGTGGTGTATATAGATAGCACCCGATATCTTTCGCCAGCGACAATGAGTCTAAAAACAACAGAATGGTGCAGGGGGCTGTAAGTCATGATCTTCTGTAACATGTTTGTCTTTGAATTGTAAGATTTAACAACGTGGACAAAAATCTGTAGACAGAGTGTCCTATTACACCATCGCTGTGGCACCGCACTACAACAATCTCAATAAATACTGCCAGCGAATTCTTTTTTTTCCTAACGGCTGCTTTAAACTTTGAATTTTCGACAACTGCCCCCCTTCAAATGATCGGCTTGTTTGTTTTCCAGATGAAAACAAATATAGGCCTTGACCTGGGCAAGGCGTCAAGGGTCGAATCGTTTTATTGCAATTACAGTCCTGTCTCGTCAAGAAAATTGGCAATGTTGGATAAACGCATGCAATGTTTAAGAGATCGTAGTTTGATAAATAACAATCAAAGGATTTTAAAAGAATCCGAACACAAAACCTTAAAATCTCCAATTGAACTGTAATGTCAGTATAAAGTTTGACGTCTCAGGGTCTCTCTAGTACACCGCGAGATTCAGATCTCTGGGAACATGGTAGCGTTGTCACCAATGAGGCTATGCATAGGGTTTGCAACTTTAAAAGATGTTTACACGAAGATTGCAAGTTAATTACATCATCCTGCTCGCAGGGTGACATCAGCTTGCAGGGTTACATCATCCTGAAAATCCACCTTCTAGTGTTATGTTTTATTTACTACATATTTGAACGAGTCAGAAGAATAGGTTGGGAATTTTGACAAACAACAGCATGACAGGTTTAAGTGATTAAACGTCGGCATTATGATAATAGATCTCGTGTGTGTATTAATCACTATTTGTCGACTGAGTTCACATATCCAATTCCAGGTGTTACATGGGAGATTATGTGATTATGTCACGGGTAAATCTTACAGGATTAGTTGGCTTATAATCAATAGCGATGCAAAACCAGGCAGCGATAGTATGCATTGGTTTAGTGTTTATAAAAAGGCCGAAAGAATATGGAAATAAGAACAACTTTAAAATTTGTCACTTCATTATAATCACAAAAGTTAAAATCTAAAAGAGCAAATCTAAAAAAAAACAACAGAGCACACAGAACAGGCAGTGACAGATACTGCATCAATAAGCGCCCAATAACCAATGGGATGGTTGCAAAAACAAATGATGCCATGTTTAGCCAATCGTGTAAGCCTACTTCTACCCTAGATACCGAGGAAGAGTTTGCTTTACTTCATGTACGAAATGCTGTCAGTCTGCCCAAAGTATGTAAGTTCTCATTTAGCTAAACATGACTAAGTGTCGTTTCAATAAATTTTAAGGTTAGACATTCAGACATGTCGGAGCAATGTAAAACGAATCAACCAACTAAAAAATACTTCTATAGAGTCATGCGTTTTAGTTAGCACACGCTATCTTTCGTCGCTGGCTAAAATTGAGTGTGAAGAAAGCAGAACGGTACAAGTTACTGTAAAGTTATGATCTTCTATAAGACTAGTTGCGAAACGTTCGTTTTTGTCGAATTTACATGTAACAATGTACAAAAAAAATCACCATACAGCGTGTCTAATTAAACCTTTGTTGCGGCACCACATGCACACTGCAACAAACTCATAATACTTCCAGTGAATTCTTTTTTTTGTTAACGGCTTCTTTAAACTTTAAATTTTTGACAACTGCCCCTCTCCAAACGGTCAATATATATCTGGACTATGGGCTACTTTTTGTGTGTTTTCTAGCTGAAGACATACAGGCCTTGACCTCAGCAAGGTTTCAAAGGTCGAATCGTCCATTGCAATTACAAGAAAAATTGGTAATGTTGGATAAAATCATGCAATGTTTAAGAGATCGCAGTTTTATAAATAACAATCAAAGGATTACTTAGAGTGTTAAAAGTATCTGAACACAAAACCTTAAATTTTCCATTTGAAAATGCGTCGGCTGTAGTGTCAGTATTTATAAAGCTTGAGGTCTCAGGGTCTCGCTAGTACACCGCGAAATACGTTTAGTTATCACCCGCTATCTTTCGTCAGTGGCTCAGAATGAGTCTGAAGAAAACAGAACGGTACAGGTTACTGTAAAGTTATGATCTTCTGTAAGACTAGTCGCGAAACATGTTCGTTTTTGTCGAATTAACATGTAACATTGTACACAAAAAACATTATACAGCGTGTCTAATTAAACCATTGTTGCGGCACCACATGCACACTACAACAAACTCAATTATACTGCCAGTGGATAACGGCTTCTTTAAACTTTGAATTTTTGACAACTGCCCCTCTCCAAACGGTCAATATATATCTGGTCTATGGGCTACTTTTTTGTGTGTTTTCTAGCTGAAGACAAAGACCTTGCTGAGGTCAAGGTTTCAAAGGTCGAAAATTTCATTGTAATTACAGTCCTGTCTCGTCAAGAAAAAATGGTAATGCTGGATAAAATCTTGCAGTGTTTATGCTATTTACAAGACATCGTGCATTGATTAATATCTATAAGAGGATTACTTAGAGTCTTAGAAAGAATCTGAACATGAAACCTTTCTCCAGTTGCATATGCGTCAGCTGTAGCGTCGGTGTGATTTGACGTGTTAAGGTCTCGTCAGTACACCGCGAGATTCAAAGATATGTAGTAATGTCGTCATCATTAAGGCTATGCATGGGGTTGGTCGTTTAGATCTTTAAAAGGTGTTTACACAAGGATTGCAGGATCGATATCATACTCCTACAAATTCACTGTCTCTGCTTCTTTAGACCTATTTTACCAAGTCAGAAGAATGAATTGACAAAAAATTCAAGTCAAGTGTAAATCTGGTTACCGTAATTGTTGCTTTAAGCCAAATGTCGGCATGATATTAGATATATTGCGTTTATTAATCAATATTTGTCGACTAAACTCGAATATTTAAATCTGGGTGTTTTAGCTTAAATTATGTGGCTATATCCCAGGTATATTTCACAGATACGTCTGGTAATGGTTTTTGTGCTTTATATTGGATTGTTGACTCTGATTTCGAAGGTTCTGAGTTCGAATCCTTAGCAGGCCCCTTTGTTGCGTCCATGTAAATGGAACTTTGGACCTATTTCCTCACCATTTGACTCAGATGAGTACCTAGCTTCGGTCAGGTACGTCCTCTCGGATAGGACGTAAAGCAAGAGGTCCTGTACATATGCAATGTTATCAAACACAAATATAGTCCAGACGCCTTCTCAAAGCTCTGGTATATAGTATCTAATATATCTAGTACATGACACTAGCGGTGACTACATCCGCCATCTTGGGGTCGATCTTCCGCAGTTCCCGGTACAGGTCCTGGTAGAACGGCTTGTTGATGGAACGGATGGTGTTCGGTGCCAGCGGGTTCAGATTGGGCTGGGTGATCAGGATACGGAACATGCTGGTGTTGAAGGCCTGGTAGATGCTGCACTCGGTGTCCCATGGGTGGAGTGAAAACCTGGTAGAAGGCCAAAGAAAGTAATTTTAATTAGTTAATGTCTGTCGAGACAGACTAGGTCGACAACACGTGGGTTGGAGATTGTCAGTCTCCCACCCACGTGGACTCCGGGAAGAGTCGTAACACTAATCGATATCCTAAATAAACAAACAAACGAATGAAAAAACAAACAGACTGAATAATAGGAGGTCAAGGGGTCTGAGACCAGTGAACGTGATGGTCTCAGAAGTTGGCCGGAACTCAGACATAAAGGAAGTCAGGAAGCCGAAGTCTGAAATGTCCGATTTTTTTTCTTGTTTGTAGACTTCATGGTGGTTTGCTTACATAATAAGAAAACGTATTCACACCTTCTCTGTACTGATTTCGGGGTCCAAAACGGTCAAAGTTGTTGTTGATGTTTAGTTTAGAAATACTATAGGCTTAGCTGCTTACTGTGATAACGATCGGTCTATTCTGAATGTTGGGTATCTCACCTTAGGAACGACCACTGACTGATGCCATCATGATCCAGGCTGTGCACAATGACGTGGTTGAAAAGAGGGTCAAGCAACTTTGGGTCAATCTCGTGGCGCTCCATGACTCCCTGTAGCGCCAGTCGTGACCTGTGGATTAGGGAAGAAAAACGACTCTCAATACTATTTTACAAAAGTCTAAAGTAGTGCCTATGCCAAAATTGTGAGTTGTTTTTTGAAGACGTGACCAATGCACCCCCGTTATATTTAAATTTAGATGTTTGGGCGTAGGCTTGACTTACGCCCTATCAATGTTTTCGCAACCCACGCGCTGTAAACCTACTTTATACTAAAACCAACAACTCAGCCATCCAAACTTATACCTCCGTACCTTGAAGTAATGAGATATAAAATCACTTATAAACGATATGGCATTTCCACTAACCTTAAAAGTTTTCCAGCAAAGGAGTCCTTCCCATGTGACTTCCAGCGTTCCATGGCCTGATGTCCGGCCAGAGCGCTCATGTTCCTACTCTCCTCCACTAGGCTCTCTCTGATACAGGCACCTCCATAGCCGAGATATCTGGACACGTTTCCGTCCCACTCTAACACACTCAGCGACGAATGGAGGAGCTCGTAATGTAACGGAATGGATGTGTAGCTTGACTCCTGGAGAATCTTTACATTGTTATCCACGATGTGTCGGACCAGGCTATTGGAGAACAGGTGGGACTTAGTGTGGAAGGAATGGGTATGGTAGAAGTAAACTGTGGAAAATATTTGACCCCTGTTACTCATTCTAACTCCGTTGCGAGTAAAGGACAAAAGCCGGACGCCCCTCTTGCCTCTCTTGTACCTCAGTGACATATTCTTCAGCTTGTATCCTCCGGAAGCACGCAACTTGCAATCTCTAACGGTTACTTCATATTCGCCCAACCTGCCGTCCGCTGCAGGGCGGATCAGCATTACCATGGTTGTGTTCTCTATGTAGCCGACAATGTCTCTGTCAGTAGGAGGTTCCATAAAGAACAGAAGGTAGAGAGAATAGAAGGCTGCGTATATCCACCGTATGTAGTACATGGGGCTCTGGAGGAGGTGGTGGCGCCGGAAGAGGTGCTGAACATTTGGGGTGCACTCACAGTCGTCAATACGGGGGAGGATAGGTGTCGGCATAATTTTGTGTCAAAAGAACTGGCAGCGACAGACCGCTATAAAAACGAACCTATAGAAAAAAATCGCGCCAGTAAGCGTCAAGAACGAACAACATAGACGCAATGACATTTTTACAAATGACAAATGATGCCATGTTGAGGCTATCAAGTACCCCTACCCTCTCTTTGATACATGTGGAAGACTAGGCTTTACATCATATACGAAATACAGTCAGTCTACATGACCCATATATGTGCTCATCCATGGATATGTGTTGTTGTTTTTTTTTTGTTTGTTTTTTCAGAAGTCAAACATGCAAACGTGTCGCTTCAATGAATGTCAGACATGCATGGCCAGGTGGGGGGTGTATGCAAAGAAGATAACCAACTGGTACTTTTTGACGGAACCACTGGCTTTCGTCAGTTATATCTAGCCGAAAACAAATAAAGACCTTGCCTTTGGCAAGGTTTTAAAGATCGGGTTATTTACTCTAAATCCTTACAGTCCCAGTCCTATCTTGTCGTCACGTTGTGAATTCGGGATAAACACGCCATGTTTATGATATCCACAAGACTCCGTAGCGTGAATCAAAAGATTCCCTCTAGCTTTAGAAACAAATACTAGATCATTGCAAAAGCTTCAGCATAGCCATGGTCGTGTTCTCTATGTAGCCGCCAATGTCTCTGTCAGCAGGAGGTTTCATGATGAACAGAAGGTAAAGGGAATAGATGGCTGCGTATATCCACCGTTTTCTGTCCGAAGGTTTCGTCAGTGCATGCCAGCTTTGTTTACATGAACATACTAATTTTTAATCTACATGTACGTGATTAGCCGAGGCGTATTTTTTTTTAATCTAGCTATAAGTAAAATACCCGAGTGAATAGCTGCATAGTCCACCGAAGAGAGACTTTGTTCAATGCGTATGTCAGTGAATATAGACCTCGATGTTATTAACATCAGGTACGTTGACTCCCAAACAACAATGGAACATAAAAAGGGACAAGGACAGTCTGGACAACAGTCTCTTGGTTCGCGGGATTCAAACCCAGACGGCAGCTTCGTCAAAGATCTAAACGTTGCATAGTAAATGGATATACTCACCTGTGAGAGATCGTATACATGTTAGAGATCTTTGCTTGCAGTTGTGGTCACGGAGCCATCTTTGTCTGAAATGCGACCCTGCTTCAAGGCCGGCCCACCCGACGGTTTCCTTGGGGTTGGGGTCATTAACCCCGGCAGCAAGAGCTTGGCGTGTAAACACAGGCTATCACCTATACAGCCATGTTCTTGTAGGTGAACCATCTAACGCCAAATTCCACCGCAAACAAGGGAAGCCACGTGTGATCTCACTAAACACCACAACTTGCTTCATGATCAGTGAAGTGAAGACGTGTTATAAGTTCTTCAATGGTGCAAAATTTATGTTCTCGTGTGCACATTTAGCTGTATGAGTCATGGCTCTGTTTTTTGCCGAAGGTCAAAAGTGTGGCTTCATTGAGCGATGCGATAAGAATCAACTAATTGGAATGATACTATCTTTCGTCAGCGAGAATGCTACTGAGGACAACAGACCGGTATATACAAGAGACTACGAAGTCATTATCTTCTTCCAGATTTGTAGAAAAAAATGATCATCTTTTTTCTGATTCAAGAATGTGGACAAAAATCATCATACAGCGTGGTTATGGTTATTGGGGTGGTAAGGTGGTCTAGTAAATAGGATTGTTAACTCAAAATCCGAGGGTTCTGGGTTGGAATCCCGGGTAGGCCCCATTGCTGTGTCATTGAGAAAGACAGTTAATACCTATATCCTCACTTGACTCAGCTGTAAATGGGCACCTAGCTTCGGTTAGGGACGTCTTCGTGAATGGAAAGTTAAGCCACATGTTTAAATCTCAGTACACTTATCAAAAATATCATGGATTCCTCCCGATGTGAGTGGCTTAAATCTTACCTTCCGATCTCAGGTTTGACATCTTGAAAAAGGTGATAGTCACCTGTTATCTCAATCATTCTGCAATTGTGGTAAATCTTAAATCTATAAATAACAGATTAAAACATATTAAAATCAATGGTTCAAACCTAATATTTGGGATTGTTGTCCTCTCCAGAAGGTCGGTGTTTGGTCAATCTGGACAATGAGCCTTTTTTGCCCTTGGCATGGTTTTAAGTGTCGAATTATCTACTGTTATTACAGTCCTATAGCTCGCCAAGAATCGTGGTTCATCCTGGATAGAAATATACAATGTTTATATTTACAAGTCGCCGTAGCTTGACTAATAATAATCTAAAGGTTTCTTAGAGTCTTAGAAAGAATCTGAACAAAGAAAACTTACTCCAATGGCAAAACGTCGAATGTGGCGTTAGTGTACAAAAGTCTCAAGGTCTCGTCAGAGCACCGCGAGATTCATATCTCTGGAAACGATGTAATGACGTGGAGGCTATGCATGGGGTTTAGCATTTAAAATATGTTTGACAACACACTATGTAAATCCGGTATGTAGTTGTAACATATGAGAGCACACATGGTGTAATTTGGGTTTCACACATACCAAACAAAAACAACCTTCGTTATAATTATATCTCGCTCATAGCGTCCTCTTGTGGTTGGTTAATTTCCTGCAGTCCGCGGTACATATTAGCGTTAAGCGTTTAATAAACAACGCTATAAAGTTTAATGCACCAAATACGCCATACGCCTTTGCAGAACGCTAGTATAGACGACCATCTAGAACATGACACTAGCGGTGACTACATCCGCCATCTTGGGGTCGATCTTCCGCAGTTCCCGGTACAGGTCCTGGTAGAACGGCTTGTTGATTGAACGGATGGTGTTCGGTGCCAGCGGGTTCAGGTTGGGCTGGGTGATCAGGATACGGAACATGCTGGTGTTGAAGGCCTGGTAGATGCTGCATTCGGTGTCCAATGGATGGAGAGAGAACCTAGAAGAAAGCCAACGGAACCCATGTTAATGACGATAGGTACTTTTTTTTTCTCTGGAAATATAGAAGTATTGTTAAGGGCGGCTGTCCAAATGCCACGTATTTATATACGCATGGGGTCAGTTTTGATCCAAGCGTTGATTTTTTTGCGAAAACAAGAAGACGATGTTGATTTTGCATTTTAAGTAACTCACCTTAGGAACGACCACTTACTGCTGCCATCATGGTCGAGACTGTGCACAATGGTGTGGTTAAAAAGAGGATCCAGCAACTTTGGGTCAATCTTATGGCGCTTCATGACATTCTGTAGTGCAAGTCGTGACCTGTCAGGAGAGTGAGGAAAGTGGCTCTCAGTTTGTAACAGTTTAAGACGTGACAGATTTAGTTGTTAAGCTTATTTTTAGCCACGTATCATCGCATTTTGGTTACACAAAGTATGGTAATTCATTGTGGGTAGAAAAAAACCTAGGTTCTAAAGACCGACAAGTTTCCACCTGTGAAAACAAACTGTGATGACATGTAAGTCTGAAGGTATCAACCAGTCATTTAAGAACATGCAGATAATTCATCTTATTGTTAGTAAATGTAGCTTAGAGTTAGCAATTTGTATTCATTGTTTCGTTCAAATGGACAACAGATATCAAATTCGTTTAAATATTTTTTAAATCCCCTTTTGTCTGATTTCTCAGAGACTGTCATGCAGCGCTGTTTTACTTATTTTTGTTAGATACCAAATTCTGAGACCTCTTCGTTCCCCCTGATATTCTTCTTGTCAACCCTTTTCCCACATGCTGTCAACCTACTCTGTCTGGACAAATACACGAACCCAAAGCTCAGCCACCGAAAAAATACTTTCGTACTGGGATGTAATGAAGAAAATTATTTTTTACTACATATATCACCATTCATAATTTAGATTAATTTACAGTTGATATCATTCAACTACATTTATCTGAACGAAGAATCAGTACTTTTGTGGTTTGTTAAGACTTTTTCAGTTGACACTGATGTTAGTTATTCTTGGTTCTTACACTTTGTTCTGGCATGACTGAACGTGACTTTGGTTTTTATGTATGTTTCTCTGTACTTGAGTTATTTCATATTTCTTGAATAAGATTTTTGAAAAAAAGAACATTACTTTCCTCACAGTCTGAATGCCAATCTTTACCTCACCCATGTGCAGTCAACTCACTCTCTCTGGACAGATACCCAAACCCGCAGCTCCACGACTCAAAATGATACTTTCATATCCAGAAGTAACAAGGAATATTTCTTGACTTGAACGTTCTACAGTGACCCTTTCTCTTACCTGTAGAGTTTTCCAGCAAAGGAGTCCTTCCCATGTGACTTCCAGTGTTCCATGGCCTGATGTCCCGCAAATGCGCTCATGTTTCTGCTCTCCTCCACTAGGCTTTCTCTGGTGCCGACATTGCCATAACCGAGATATCTGGACACGTTACCGTCCCGGGCCAGCGCACTCACGGACGAATGGAGGAGCCCGTAATGTAACGGGATGGAGGTGTAGCTTGACTCCTGGAGAATCTTTACATCGTTATCCACGATGTGTCGGACCAAGCTATTGGAGAACAGGTGCGACTTGGTGTGAATGGAATGAATGTGGTAAAAGTATATTGTGGAAAAGATTTGATATCTGTTGTCGATTTTAACTCCGTTGCGAGTAAAGCAAAGAACCTGGACGCCCCTCTTGCCTGTCTTGAACCTCAGTGACATGTTCTTCAGCTTGTATCCTCCGAGGGCACGCAGCTTGCAATCTCTAACGGTTACTTCATATTCACCCGACTTGCCGTCTGTTGCAGGGCGGATCAGCATAGCCATGGTCGTGCCTATGTAGCCGACAATGTCCCTGTCAGTGGGAACTCGCATGACGAACAGAAGGTAGAGAGAATAGAGGGTTGCGTATATCCACCGTATGTAGTACATGGGGCTCTGGAGGAGGTGGTGGCGCCAGAAGAGGTGCTGAACACTTGGGGTGCACTCACAGTCGTCAATACGGGGGAGGATAAGCGTCGGCTTCATTATGTGTCAAAAGAACTGACAGCGACAGACACCTATTAAAAAACGTACATACAGAAAAAATACACGCCAGTAATTGTCAATAATGAATAGCATGAACGTCATGACATTTGTACAAATGATGCCATGTTGAGACTATCGAGTAGCCCTACCCTGTCTTCGATACATGGGAAAGACCAGGCTTTACATCATATACAAAATGCAGTCAGTCTACATGACTCATATATGTGCTCATCCAGGGATATGTGGCATTTATGTATAGCTCTGCTTTTTTGCAGAAGGCAAACATGCATACGTATGTGAATTCTGGATAAACACATCGTATGTTAATACAAGACTTCGAAGCCTTAATCAAAAGATTCCCTAGAGTTTTAAAAAAGAATATAAGATTTTTTTTTACAATTATTGCAAAAGCGGCAGCTGTAGCGGTCAATGCGACCATTTTTCTCCGAAGGTTTCGTCAGTGCATGATAATATTAGGCTCTCTAAATGTGCGTTGTTATCTCCTTGACTAGTCAATGTGCATATTTTTTTTCTATTTTAGCTGTGAGTGAAATATTTGAGTGAATAACGGCGTAGTCCACCGAGGATAGTTGTTCAAGGCGTATGTCAACGAATAAAAATGATTGTCATCAACACCAGGTACTTTGACTCCCAAACTACAATGAAACACAAAGGGACAAGGACGGCAGTCTCCTGGTTCGCGGGCCGATTTGAACCCAGACCGCCAACTCACGAATTCGAACCCAAAGTACTACTCGCAAGGTAAAATAGGTCCGGACTTGTTAGACTGGTCAGTTGGTGGGGCTTATTTCAACCTTACCGCTACATGGATGAAATACGGTTTCTTTGTACTACTTCGTAGAGTATACACAGATCAGCATGAAGTCCGTTCTTTCACATAACAAAGTTTCCATGAGAGACACTTTGTGCTACATGGATGAAATATTTCACTTATGCAACGTACCGCCCAAGAACAGACAAGCTTATATAATGTATGGACAGAAGACGGTTTCGTCAAATATCTAAACTCTGCACAGTAAAGCTATACCCACCTGTGAGAGATCGTAGAGATCTTTGCTTGCAATTGTGGTCTGAAATGACACCTATATTCTGTCTAATTGTGCTCCTGGCTTCAAGGCCGGCCCGACGGTTTCTTGTGGTTTGGGGCTTTTAACCCCGACAGCGAGAGCTTGACGAGTAAACAAAGGCAACCACCTATAACCGCGGTCTGTTCTTGTTTACTAAGTGGACCATCTAACGCCAAATTCCACCGCAAACACGGGAAGCCATGTGTGATGTCACTAAACACCACAACTTGCTTCATGATCAGTGAAGTGAAGGCGTGTTATAAGTTCTTCAATTGTGCAAATTAATGTTCTCGTGTGTATGCAATGTGCGCATTTAGGTGTATGAGTCATGGCTCTGTTTTTTTTGCCGAAGGCAAAAAGTGTGGCTTCATTGAGCGATGCGATAAGAATCAACTATTTGGAATGATACTATCTTTCGTCAGGGAGAATGCTGCTGAGGACAACAGACCGGTATATACAAGAGACTACGAAGTCATTATCTTCTTCCAGATTTGTAAAAAAAATTATCATCTTTTTCTGATTCAAGAATGTAGACAAAAATCATCATACAGCGTGGTTATGGTTATTAGGGTGGTAAGGTGGTCTAGTAAATAGGATTGTTAACTCGATCAAAATCCGAGGGTTCTGGGTTGGAATGCCTGGCAGGCCCCATTGCTGTATCATTGAGAAAGACAGTTAATACCTATATCCTCACTTGACTCAGCTGTAAATGGGCACCTAGCTTCGGTTAGGGACGTTTTCCCGGATGGAAAGTAAAGCCAGAGGTCCCGTGCTAAAGAAGAGCCACACCTAACATGTTTTAATCTCACTACATTTATCAAAACGATCAGGGATCCCTCCCGGTGTGAGTGGTTTTAACCTTACCTTCTGGTCCCAGGTTTGACATATTGAAAAGGAGATAGTCACGTGTTATAATTATCTCAATCATTCTGCAAATGTGGTAAATTTTAAATCCATAAAAAGCATATTAATAAATAATAAAATCAATGGTTCAAACCTTATATTTGGGGCGACTGTCCCTCTCCAGACGGTCGGCGTCTGGACAATAAGCCTTTTTTGTGTACTTTCTAGCTGAAAACAAATACAGACCTTGCCCCTAGGTGTCGAATGATTTACTGCAATTACAGTCCTAGCTTGTCAAGAATCGTGGTTATCCTGGATAAAAATATGCAGTGTTTATGGCATTTATAAGACACCGTAGCTTGACTAATAATAATCTAAAGATTTTATAGAGTCTTAGAAAGAATCTGAGCTAAACTAGAAAGGCCAATATTTGCTTTGGAGCAAATACAGCGATGGGTTCACCACATTTTACGACATGGCAGGGAAAGAATGGGAAACACAAGGGAAAACAATGATTTACATTGATATAACTATAATATGAAGTAAAATACAACTAAAACAACAGTTGGATAGCTATTCCCTACTTTATTGGTTAGGATTTTTAATTGCATAATGCAAACTGTTGATTTTCAAAATAAAAAAAACGTCCATGCCCGGCATTCCAATGCTGGAGCAGGAAAGCTTGAAATACCTACCAAAACACTTGAATACAGACATACTGTCAGTATGGAAATGCTTCTGTGCAGGTGTTAATCAAAGTTAAATCCCAACAGCCAATCAGCAAGAAGTATACATACTGTCAGTATGGAAATGCTTCTGTGCAGGTGTTAATCAAGTTAAATCCCAACAGCCAATCAGCAAGAAGTATAGAGGAAAGCTGCATGCCTATTGGTTGATGCCCTGCATGCCATTGTGATGACTCATGCCCAAACGTGGTAAACAAGGCACACTAACACAGTAATACATTAGCTATAACACAGCCAAAAAACTCAAATAAAACCATTCTAAAAGCCTGTATCACAATAATTTAAAAAACGCCTAGGGGTATTTGCCCACTGTACCTCCATACCAAATTTCAGGACCTTGGGCTCTAAAATGAAGAAGCTGAATCCATTTAAAAAATGGCAGGAGAAGGAGGAGAAGAAGGAGAAGAAGGAGAAGAAACATCAGAAAAAGCAATATGGTTTTTTATGGGTTCGTGGTGTGGTGAACCCATAAAAAACTTTCTCCAATGGCAAAACGTCGGCTGTAGCGTTAGTGTACAAAAGTCTCAAGGTCTCGTCAGAGCACCGCGAGATTCATATCTCTGGAAACGTTGTAATAACGTGGAGGCTACGCATGGGGTTTAGCACTTAAGATTTGTTTGACAACACATCATGTAAATCTGGTATGTAGAGATATACAGAGCACACATGGTGTAATTTGGGTTTCACACATACCAAACACAAAAAATTACACAAATAGTTGAATCCGAACCTTCGTTATATCTCGCTCATAGCGTTCTCTTGTGGTTGGTTATTAATTTCGTAGGATTCTGCAGTTCGCGGTACATTTTAGCGTTAGGCGTTAAAAGAAGAACGTTATAAAGTTTGATACGCCAAATACGCTATACGCCTTTGCAGAACGCTAGTATAGACGACCATCTAGAACATGACACTAGCGGTGACTACATCCGCCATCTTGGGGTCGATCTTCCGCAGTTCCCGGTACAGGTCCTGGTAGAACGGCTTGTTGATGGAACGGATGGTGTTCGGTGCCAGCGGGTTCAGATTGGGCTGGCCGATCAGTATAAGGAACATGCTCGTGTTAAAGGCCTGGTATGTGCTGCATTCGATATCCCATGGATGGAGAGAGAACCTAGAAGAAAGCCAACGGAACACATGTCAATCATATTACTTGATTTTTTTCCTCTGGGAATATAGAAGTATTGTTTAGGGTGGCTGTCCAATTAGCACATATTAATATACGCCTGGGGTCAGTTTTGACCCCATACGGTGGTTTGAGGGATAAAGGAATCCAAGTGTTGATTTTTATTTTCGAAAACAAGAGGACGATCACTGGACAATAAAGGTTCTGATACACTGATATTCTTTACAAATATGGCAAATTACCCGCCCGGATATGAGTGTATCTGAACCTATTTCGTCCAGTTGATGTTGATTTTGCATTTTAAGTAACTCACCTTAGGAACGACCACTTACTGCTGCCATCATGGTCGAGACTGTGCACAATGGTGTGGTTAAAAAGAGGGTCCAGCAACTTTGGGTCAATCTTATGGCGCTTCATGACATTCTGTAGTGCAAGTCGTGACCTGTCAGGAAAGTGAGGAAAGTGGCTCTCAGTTTGTAACAGTTTAAGACGTGACAGATTTAGTTGTTAAGCTTATTTTTAGCCACGTATCATCGCATTTTGGTTACACAAAGCATAGTAATTCACTGTAGGTAGTGAAAACAAACTATGATGACATGTAAGTCTGAAGGTGTCAACCAGTCATTTAAGAACATGCAGATAATTCATCTTGTTAGTAAATGTATCTTAGAGTAAGCAATTTATATGTTGCATGTGTGCAACATATAAATTGTGTGCAACAAACAATTCATTGTTTTGATAAATGTGCTATTACACTGTGATATATATTTTAATAATTTTTTTTAAATCTCATGTTGTCTGCTTTCTCAGAGACTGCCATGTAGCGCTGTTTAACTTACTTATGTTAGATACCAAATACCTATTCCCCCTGACATTCTTCGTGTCACTCTTTTCCCCACATGCTGTCAACCTACTCTCTCTTGACAAGTCAAATACCCAATCCCAAAGCTCAGCCACCGATAAAATACTTCCCTGCCGGGATGTTATGAAGAACATTACTTTCATCTTAACAACCATCCACATTTCCACTAACCTAAAGAGTTTGCCAGCAAAGGCGTCCTTCCCATGTGACTTCCAGTGTTCCATGGCCTGATGCCCCGCCAGTGCGCTCATGTTCCTTCTCTCCTCCACTAGGCTTTCTCTAACACATGCATTACCGTAGCCAAGATATCTGGACACGCTTCCGTCCCAGGCCAGCGCACTCAACGACGAATGGAGGAGCCCGTAATGTAACGGGATGGAGGTGTAGCTCGACTCCTGGAGAATCTTTACATCGTTATCCACGATGTGTCGAACCAAGTTATTGGAGAACAGGTGCGACTTGGTGTGAATGGAATGAATGTGGTAAAAGTATATTGTGGAAAAGATTTGATATCTGTTGTCGATTTTAACTCCGTTGCGAGTAAAGCAAAGGACCTGGACGCCCCTCTTGCCTCTCTTGTACCTCAGTGACATATTCTTCAGCTTGTATCCTTCCGAGGCACGCAGCTTGCAATCTCTTACTGTTACTTCATATTCACCCGACTTGCCGTCTGTTGCAGGGCGGATCAGCATAGCCATGGTCGTGTTCTCTATGTAGCCAACAATGTCCCTGTCAGTGGGAGCTCGCAAGGTGAACAGAAGGTAGAGAGAATAGAGGGCTGCGTATATCCACCGTATGTAGTACATGGGGCTCTGGAGGAGGTAGTGGCGCCAGAAGAGGTGCTGAACACTTGGGGTGCACTCACAGTCGTCAATACGGGGAAGGATGGGTGTCGGCATCATTTTGTGTCAAAAGAACTGGCAGTGACAGGCAGCTATCTATAAATGAAGTATCTACAGAAAAAAGTTATAGCCAGTAATCGTCAATAATGAATGACATGAACGCCAGGACTTTTTTTTACAAATGATGCCATCTTGACACTATCGAGTAGCCTGTCTTAAAGGTGAAGACTAGGCCTCACCTCATCTACGAAATGCAGTCAGTCTACATGACCAATACATGCGCTCATTCAGGAATGTGTGGCGTATATGTATAGCTATGCCCTTTTTCAGAAGGCAGACATGCGTGTCGCTTCAATGAAAGTTAGACATGCACCACCAAGTTTGGGGGGTGCAACGCGAAAAAAAACTGAATGCGTGTTGTTATTAATAACTTAAGCTTTATTTGAATCTCCTTGCTTAGACAGGCTTAGGTGTACGGTTTTATATTTCAGCCATAAGTGAACTACAAGGAGATTGAGTTAAAAAACGTGATCCACCGGAGTTAGACTTTATTTACTGCCAATATATACCGGATATCAGAGAATTGCGACCTCTGTTATCAGGTACTACACAAAGGGGCGTGCACTGCATATACAGTCTTCTGTTTCCCGGGATTCTAACCTGAAGTCACTAACTCACGAATTCGGTCCCAAACCGCAAGGCTAAAAATTGTTCAGACTGGTCAGTTAGTTGTGCTTAAACCTTATTGTTACATGGATTAAGTGTTATCTCTTTATACTTCTTGAAGCTTCGTAGAACTAACACAACTTTTGTACCTCAGCGCTGCTTTTAAATGCCACCTAAGCAGTCTCTTCCAAGGCTTGTATGTGAACCATGCCAATGCCAAATTCCACCATAAGCAGCCGCCCGTAAGGTAAGTGAACCCTACGACTTGCTTCATGGTCGGTGCGGTGAAGCCGACATTGTTATGAGCTCTTCGGTGGTGCAAAATCATGGTCTCAGGATAAAAAGTATCTCAATTTGATTACAATCTTGAAACATACGTGTATTCAGAATGCAAGAGTTTTAAACCTATTTTGAAATTCTTAGTCTTTATTTTTTTTAGTCATGGTACTCTTACATTAACTCATGATGTTGGATCTGAATAATATTTGGAACAGCCTAGGCCTCCGCCATTTAACCCAGAACCCAGACCTAGATGGTCTGATGGCGGGAAAACAGGAGACCAATCAGAGTACGTCACGTGGACCAGCATGTATATATCTCCCGATAGGAAGCGTGAAGTCAGTTTTTCCTTATATAGCATCTGTAAATTATGAATTGGCAGCGGTGTGTACAGATATGTGAGCAAGTATGAAAAGGGAACTATTTTTTTTTTTCATTCAGTAACGATCATTCTTGTTAAGAACATGTGATGCCCGCTTTATTTCAACGGTTATTATAAACATTCATTGTGTGTCCCAGCTGGTATTTACCAGATCTAGACCATAGACAAAGCTCCAAGTAATGGGGTCGATATCGATGGACGAGGAGGATTATAACAGGCTTGCAAAAGAAGAGACCAGTGAAAATTCCGTTAACACTCAGCTGACGATAACGACAACTGTGACAGCGCAGACATGCTTTAAATGAACGTGACACTGATAATTTAAAACTGATAACTGGAATACCTTTTGTTTTCAATGGGTGACAGTTAACGGTGCGTTTAGGTGCTAATTTTATTTTTAGAACATATTGAATTGATTATGTGGATGACATCCTCTAAGACCCCAAAAACTGATTCGAACGTCAGAATAAAGCAGTCTGGCAAAAAAAGTTATCTTCTATAAGAAATCTACGTCATCAAGGTATGGTAGGTTGAATAAAAAACTCTTTATTTTCATTATCAACATTATATATTTGCATCAACAACAAACAACAACAACAGCACGCTTATCTTAGCCAACTGTTAATAGGACAGTACGTGCAAGTGTATGCTTGAATGGTCCTACTCCTTTCACCAGAAAATTCTTTCCCGTAGCACACAAATCGACATTTAACAATATTTGCTACGCAGTACAGATTTGAGAAGTGGATGCTATCTGCTTAGTCGTAAACCCATTTTTATTCTGTTGCTTGTTAAGTCCGGTACAGACGTATCCAAACAGTGATCACCCTCGTGGACTCACCATTTCACAGCGCTTTTCCGACATCGCTTCAGTAGTATAAAAGTTTGCTTTACAGATAAATTTTGCACCCCTAGCTGGTTGTCCTGGGCTCATGAAAGGAACATTGAGCTCTAATCACTCGAATAAATATTCATGTCCATACCTAGTGCACATGCATTCGCCATGCTTTAATTTATGAAAGATTAGGTTATTTGTGTTAAAAAATTTTTCCAAAGCGAAACATCTGGATGAAAAACAGAAGACACACTTTACATTCGAAATGCCGACTAATATGCTTTTTTGTCAAACGCCAGGTTACATGTAATATGAACAGAGACACGGTAAAGGGAAAATTCTCAGTTGGAATCTTTGTGTGCTAGGTAAATCTATATATTATATAGTGCAGTTGTATGCATTTTTCAGACTGAAGCAACTGCGCGTCTTACAAGGGGGCCAGTATTAGGGTATAAAAAGATGCCGCATTACCCTTAGGGTTGAGTGATGATTACTCGACTTCTCTTTTAGCATTCCGCATGAGTATTGTACCTATTTCACAAAACTATTGCTTAAGTATGCTAAAAGCGTGTTGTAGAATCCTTGAAAACTAGCCTTATCCAAAATGAGTGAGTGAGATGTCTGTTCTACTATCCATCACTTTGTTCTGGTGACTCCTGGGAAAGAAACAATTGGATTTTTTTCAGTATAACGTTCAACAAGAAGTTAGTCATTGATGCAAAGGAAAAATACAAACAAAAAAATTTAAAAAAAAACTATTGAAAAGCAAAGTATGCCTTGTCACTGAGAATCTTTTGTATCTTTGTTATGAAGTTTAGAACTTTATTAATCGTAAGATCTTCATATGATCTAGGAAAGTTTCTATAGTAACATATAAATAAGAAATTAATCGGATGTATAATAATACATTTTAAAAACAAAGTAAAACGCGTTACCTTGTTGGTATGCACCACAAAAACGGCACAGCGATGGCGAAGAAAGTAAATAATGCTCCCAATACGGCAATGGTGACGGCACTATCCCCATACTCACCACCTGGATAAATGCAAAAATCCCTGAACTTGTTTCTAGAAACCCAAATTTTTATTATTATTATTATTATTATTATCATCATCATCATCATCATCATCATCATCATCATCATCATCATTATTATTATTTTTATTAACGTTTGTGTTTGGAGGTATCTGGATCTTGAAGCAGACCAAAACAAGAATAAGAAAGCAACGTACCTAGACACATCGAGACTTGGTGGGCACCTGTTCCAGTTGTTGTCTGCTTGTTCGGACACGGGAGGCATTTCGTCTGGGCCTCCCTGTTCTGGTAGGCCCCTACTTCACACTCCTCACATTGCAGTGTTGTGGTGTTGAATAGTGATCCCACGGGACAGGCAACTGTGGCATCATCGTCAAATGTGTTGCAGCATTTGTTAAAACATCGATTTGAAGAATATGGAATCGAAAAAAAGTGTAGTCATCCTGCTTTCATCCGTCTTAATTTAATACAGGCTGATGTAAAATGCCGATAGTCGTCTCAACATTTCTTGAGATGTCTTCAAGGTCATGCTTGGTGTTAGTCTACCGGTGTGATGTGTTTTAGATTTAGGTAACACCGCATCTAGAAGGCGATTTCTGATGGTTATTCACTCTATCTTGGCATTTTTGCATTTGAAGCCTTCTTCAGTTGTCTATCATAAGCATTGAAATTGGCCGTTCAGCTAATAAACCCTGAACATTATATCATAATTAATCTCTATATTTTAGGTCCCCTCCTAAAAATGGTGCTTACTATAATAGCCAATATTGATAATGTTTTGATTACGTTGAGTTAGTGAAAAAGTCAACTCAAATACCTAGTTTTAATTATAATGAGCATCACATACCGCATGTGCCGTTCCCCCTCTTAACGTAGCCAACGTCGCACGTGGCCTCCGCAGGTTCCATCTGTAGTGAATCCGCCTGTACGACGTCCCACCACACACGGAGAGTGAAGTTACCTGACTCTACCACATCCTGAACCAACTCTGATAGTGTATCTACGCTTTCGGTCAGGAAAGAGACTTGATCGAACTTCTCATGTGTGGTGTTTTCGTTTGTTTTGTTCAAGCTCACAATAATGGTAAATTCAACATTGAAGCTACTATCAAATACGCCTCTTTCTAATCGTTTCACCCTATCTTCCGCCTGCCTTTTACGTCTGTCCTGTCCACAAATGACGTTAACGTTATCGATGGTACATAAGCCTGAAGCACAAATACTCGCACCAACAACTGAGTCCATTAGATTGCCCACGAATTTTTCCTTAATTTCATTTTGGGTGTCTACCGAATCACAATCTCCGCTGAAGTGGTAAAACGTCAGGTGACCATGACTTCTGACCTCTCTACTGTATTTTGCGCCTGAAACAAGAAAATACATTGTCGTTCTTAAGGCCATGTTGATTTGATCATATGGATGACATCCTTCGGGAGCCCCAAAACCGATGCGCGCGTGCGAATAAAAAAAAAGTTTTGCCAAAAAAAGAAGTTTTATTTCATTATGAAATCTACGTGGTCATGAGGGTTGAGCAAATGGCACAGAATATGGTTTGGCGAATAATCTAGTCTTCAAGTTCATTTCTTTACAATTTCGTCTTTTTTCGTTAGATTTTCGCATTCTACCACATTGGTATAGTTTTATTAATTTTTTTTGTAACTTATAGTATATTTTTGCTCATTTTGCAACTGTTTTGTACGATTTACAGTATGGTTGAAAACTTTTTTTTTGAAACGGCCGAAAATTCATGCGCGCGCGGATGTCATCCATATAATCAAATTAACATGGCCTAAGAGCAAACTTTTACACTAAGGCTTTGTAATGACTGGTCCTTTCTAGACGTAACGTACATGTCAAATCTTCTGTGATATGTAAAATTATCAATGAACAAGCCGTTTTTGCCGTTGCTGGAATAGGAAATACTGCAGTTCAATTTGAGAAGTTTGGAAAAAGTCAACAAGTTCGTACACATTTGCAAAAGAGACGTCGAAATAGTCAAACGTAAAAAACACACACAAAAAAATCGTATGCGACTACCAAATTAAAAGTTTCATGTTTTATTTTTCTAATCCTATGTCTAGTTCTAAGCCTTGTACAAGTGTACAAACTTATTCACGTGTATATCCATGTGACAACTTGGCAAACCTAAGTGTATAAAAGGTTGCCCTAATAAGATTAAACCCAGTCTGTGTGTACCCGGTGTTATGTTACTGACTAGGTAACCGTTATTGTTAGAGTTCCTTCACCCCGTATGACATAGGGTCTTGGCTACCCTAGCCTCCGTAGCAGGCTTATAGAACTGGGGGTTTGGTGGTCTTCGGCTGTTTTCTGATTAGCCCAGTTCTAA